CCCACCCCCCTTACCAAGATGGCGGACGGAGCTTCCGGTCCCCAGCCGTAGCTGCAATGACGGTGGCCGCCGCGGCGGTGCCGGGCAGCTCGAGCTGTGATTGGCCGAGACGTGGAAGGCGTTTCGTAATTCACGCGCGGTGGAGTGATGGTGGCGGTGGTGACAATTTAACGCGTGGAACACGATTTGGAATAATTTGAACTCCAGCGGGATAAGAAATCCGAAGATCCGAGAAGCTCTTGCAGATAGCCAGTTAATAGGGGGGGGGGGAGCACGGGGTCGCCCAGTTATAACAGAATAATTTTTTTTTTTTTACAAAATGTATCTTTTAAATTTTCGATTTAAAGCTTTCGTGACTGCAGGGATTCATCTTCTTGGTTCTTTCGGTAAAGTCACGTAGAAGAGAAGTAATAAAATAAAACATAATAAAATATAATTCTCACGACGTTTCGGCCACAACGCAAGCAGCCGTCCTCAGGTGAAGAACAGGTCTGTCGGGAAGACAACTAAACATTCAGACGCTGTCTTTCCGACAGACCTGTTCTTCACCTGAGGACGGCTGCTTGCGTTGTGGCCGAAACGTCGTGAGAATTGTATTATTTTATTTTTATTATTTTATTATTTCCCTTCTTCGTGACTTTACCGAAAGACCCAAGAAGATAATTTTATTGTTTTATTTTTATTATTTTTACTATTTTATTATTTCATTCTACGTGATGACTTGACCGAAAGAACCAAGAAGAATATTTTATTATGTTTTATTTTAATTTTATTTTTACTATTTTATTATTTCCATTCTACGTGATGACTTTACCGAAAGAACCAAGAAGATTTTGTTTTATTTCTATTATTTCCCTTCTACGTGACTTTACCGAAAGAACCAAGATTATTTTATTATGTTTTATTTTTACTATTTTATTATTTCCATTCTACGTGATGACTTTACCGAAAGAACCAAGAAGAAAAATGTATCTTCTATAAATAAAATGTATCTTATACTTTTAGGTTCTCACTAGATACAGTAAAAAAAAATTTTAATCTTCTCTAAATAAAAAAGTATATTCTAATAAATTATAAGAACATTGTTTTTCGGTACCCTCTCTGCACACAAGACACGGGATTTGTTAAGATAGTAGTAGGTTTTTACCCTTTCAACTGGTACAAAAAAACTGACACCTTTATACAAGGCATCATGTTTGCAATAACCACAACACAAGCAGTCAAAATGCAAACAAAAATAAACAAGTATAATGATAAAAGGCTATTGCAAACATGATGCCTTGTATAAAGGTGTCAGTTTTTGTACCAGTTGAAAGGGTAAAAACCTACTACTATATTTCGCCACTGCTAAAGGAGATGTCTCATAGTGTAAATTCTCACCCCGAGCTCTCAATTCTCTGATGGTGGATTGTCTTTGAGTTGTGCGCCTTTTGGCATCATCTGGTCCAACACCAATGGAGACTAGGCTCTAAGAAAAGCTGTCTCGGGTGTGGACCAATCAACTTCAAGGACAGTGCATATCATTATCATCATCAGAGTTGTTTCTTTTTGTTTGCATTTTGACTGCTTGTGTTGTGGTTATTGCAAACATGATGCCTTGTATAAAGGTGTCAGTTGTTGTACCAGTTGAAAGGGTAAACACCTACTACTATATTTCGCCACTGGTAAAGGAGTGGTCTCATAATGCGTTAAGATGTTCAAACTCCCAAAAAAAACGTTTCAACATTTGCAAGGAATACAATTCACTGCGTTAACAAAGACAAAGCTCCCCCGTGTAGCCTGCCACAGAGTGTTGGGGCAAGTGCTGTTAGCGAGTAGCAGCAGCACCTATGAAGGCTACCGGCACTGTGGCACACGAGGGGGTGGGTGGCCAGCACCACGCCCGGCCGCCTTTGTCTCTCCCCCAGTGGCGATGTTTACGACACACGGCACCAGCTCATTTGAGGCTGAGTCGACCTAGGGGAGGCCCAGGACCAGTTCAGATCATTAATCTTCACCGGTGTTGGCCGTGAGCGGGAATCGAACCCGGGTCGCCGGGTTCGTAGCGCAGCGCGCTAACCGCTACACTACCGCTCCTCACATTTCCAATAACACCACACACACCACACTCACCACCACACCCACTCACCACCACACACACTCACTCACTCACCACCACTCACTCACCCACTCACTTATCTACTCACTCACCCACTCACCACCACACATCACCACACTCACCACCACTCACTCACCCACTCACTTATCTACTCACTCACCCACTCACCTACTCATTCACCCACTCACCACCACACATCACCACACTCACCACACCCACTCACTCACCTACTCACTCACCCACCTACTCACTCA